CTGTGGGGGCACAGCTGCCTCACCATGGGCTGCACCACGGGCTGCAGGGGAACCTCTGCTCCGGCGCCTGGAGCACCTCCTGCCCTCCTTCTGCACTGGCCTTGGTGTCGGCAGAGTTGTTTCTCTCACGTCACACTCCTCTCTCCACTGCAGGTTCCCAGCCTGTTTTTTTTTCCCCCTCTTAAATATGTTATCCCAAAGGTGCTACCACCATTGTTGATGGGCTTGGCCTTGGCCAGTGGTGGGTCTGTCTTGGAGCCGTCTGGCATTGCCTTTATCTGACATAGGAGAAGCTTCTAGCAGCTTCTCACAGAAGCCAGCCCTGTAGCTTTCCCACTACCAAAACCTTGCCACACAAACCCAATACAACTTGCTTCTTAATTAAGTTTTGGTAGTGCCTTAGTGTTGGTTTATGGAGTCTAGAAAAGAGAACAAAAAACTCTTGTATGGTGAAGCTGATGGCTCAAGACACCAGTCCAGTCATTAGCTTCTTGAACTTGTACTTGCTCTTAATTTATGTGCTCTGGGAAGTTCATTACCTTGTGCTGCTGTTTTCGTCTAGAACACTTTACGTAGTAGTGAAATGTTAAACTTCTGCTTAGATGCTCTCTCAGTTTAGTTGCCTTTAATAGCCTGAGTACTAAAATTGTAGTAGATGTAACTGTTAGAAAACAAATCTTAGCATCTTTAAGTCTATGAAAGCATTGAATTGTAAAAGGACTCATTGTGAAAAGTTTTTGATCTGTTTAAATCTAGGGGTTACATTTTTAAGAGAAAATATTTGCTAATCTCCATCAGCACTGGAGAAGAATAAAATCCCTGTTTTTATCTCTCTAGGTCAAAAGGTTATATTGCCTATGTACTCCTTTGCGCAGTTGAAAACTCTACATTTTGACCCTCCAAATGCTGTTGTCCATGTGGGTGGAAAGCTGTCTATTGAGTTGACTTTGCTGAGCCAAATGCCCATTCCTGTCCAAGTGGATCAGATTGCTATCCATGTTCACTTCAGCATTGAAAAAAACAGTTACAGAAAAACAGCTGAGTGGCTCACTAAGCACAAAACTTCCAATGGTGTTATCAACTTTCCAAATGAAGTTGCAGGCTTTCCTTTTTCAAGAAACAACTTGCCAGCGCTGGAGCTATATGAAATGTATGAACGGAGTCCCTCAGATAACTCTTAAAAATTATCTGCAAAAATGTGCACATGCTACTACGAAGGCAAGAGAGCAGCAGTTCGCTGGATATGCCCTCAGGGGTGACTTTAGAAGATGGGGCTCATGTGTTGAAATGCAACAACTTAATACTGGAACCAGGGGTCAATAAAATAACATTCAATACTCAGGTATGTTTTTATAGTTGAGTGAATGTAGCACTCACGAAAGAAGAACTAAAAGTACTGGCTGAGGAGGAGCATGGTGCTGGCAAGTGGTACCTGGTTTTCTTCCTGTTACAGCTTGGGTGATGCCATTCCATTTGTGGCTTTCTTTTTGTTGTTCTAGACCTTAATTTCCCTTGAAAGAAAGCTGTTGTGTTAGTACCAAAATGTACAGGTGACCCTCCTGTTTGCAATCATTTGAGTCAACCTTCTAAAACTTGTTTTAAACATCTTGATTGTTGCTGCCAAAAATTAAACTGATAAATTAATATACAAGATAATGTACTGCTCATGAAGTCTGCCTTTGCTGTTGAGCTAATCGAGGATAATGTTTAAGATTTTTGATGGGAATGCATTTTATAGCCCTTAGTAAGGGACTGTGTAGTTAAATTTGGTTGATGAGCCTGTTCTTCACTTTAAGGGGTGTTTCATTTTGGTTTTTTTTAAACTGCTTAATTCATGCTGATCTGTGGTTTGTTTGTGTGTTTTAATGAAATGGGGAAAGGTGTTTACCTGCGGACTTAGTTCTAGCAAGTGAAATGCCATTTTCAAAAGCAAGCTTTCCAGGGGTATGAGCTTCTGGCCTTAATTATCATGTTGTTCTGTTCTTTGAGTTTTCTTCAAATACTTTCTATTTCCCTCACAACCTCTGTAACCCTTCATAGGGAAATATTTAGTAGAGTTCAATACTACAGTAATGAACATCAACTGAGGAAGAAAATGCTGAGAAGTTCAGTGCAGCATCTGAATGATTAATAAGAGACAGGACAGGAATGCAACAGGTGTTCCGTAGCAGCTTCATTTTCTGAGCATTATCCAGCCTGTATATAGGGAAGGATGTAGGTGCTATGAAGAGAGAAAGTATTTTGCAGTCACATAGGGTATGTGTGCCTGCTAGCTTTGCCATTTCCTAATTGGTTTAAATTAGCTTTGGTCCCTTTTTAAAACTAATTTTGAAATAACAATCTACATATCTGCTTTTGATGACTAAAACTTGTGAGCTAGACAGACAGAACTGTCCAGGAGTTTTCTTTAGCATTCCTAGCATATTTTATCTTATCTGTCCTTAAAGGGAAAATCTGAATATATTATGATTTTTAAGAGTATATTACTGGATAACATGATGAAATCTTCTCTAGATTTGAGCTGCAGTATTTACAAAATATTTACTAAAAATCCGTTATCACTGTAGTAGTATACTGTGTCACTTCTACTGGGTTACTTAGCTGTCCAGAGGATAGAAACTGCTGACAACTTGTTTTGTAAATTTTCTTATGGTAATTCTTAGTTACACTACCTTCACAGAAAGAGGAATGACTGTTCTTCTAGGATGCAGAGGGAGTTTGACTCTTTCTTTAGATCTTAGGCTGATGATTAGCATTATTTATGCTGAACAGAAATCTTTCAGTGTATTTTTTCAAGCATTAAGAGAGATCAGAAGGCATTATCTAATTCTTCAGACTGATATTCCCATCTCATGTTGAGGTTTAAAGTGTGTGTACAGTGAAAGACTTCACTCATGCTTTTCTGTTTATAAAGTATGCAAGGGATAAAATTTAGTGGCTTTAATGTCAAAATGCATAATACTGAATTTCAGTCAGGATTTGTTTTATCAATAACTCTGTAAGTGAGGTTTGAATGTTAAGTTGTTACAGCTTTTCTCCATAACTTAAAATGTTATTCTCTAGATTTAGTTATACCCAGCATCAATATTTCTGTATTACACTTGGTGAGATAGCACATGGAAAAAGAAAACATTTCCTGTTCCCTGGCAGTAGTAGCTAAAGGCAAATAGAATTGAGAATAAATATATGAGCAGATGTTACAGACTTGCTTTTTATAATGTTATCAAAAAACATCTAGAATCCCATTTTTCAGGGTAAGGGAAGAGTTTGAAATTAAATATGTATGTATTACATTTTTGTAAGCATTCACACAGGGTGTGGGGTGGGGAGTGTGTGAAACAGCTAGTGTGAGCTGAAAGCTGTGCCTTATGTAAATGTTGTAGGATTTTATGAATGTTAGCCAAATAAGCACTTTGCTGCTTGCTAAATATCATTTCAGTACTTAATAAAGATAATTATATTTTAGTGCATGTCACATTTGGAGGGGAGAAAGAAAAAAACAAGCAAGACAAAAAGCACCCCAAAATAACAATTTGACAGCACAGCTAGTATATTAGTTATTCTGATTGTTGGAACTTGTTACTTATAATGTTGTTTTTCTTGAATTAGCCAGCAGGCTAGAGCTTTCATCATAATGGGGCAGAAGGTGCTCATTTGTGGAAATCTTGTCACTTTCTCAGAGAATGGTTCTGTCATTTTAATTTACAAATGCAAAGTACCTGATAGAAATGAGCTGAAAACATGCTGTTGTTTAGCAGAGAGTTTATTCTAGAAGTATTTCCTAAATTGAAAAATCCGTTCAAATGTTTTCTTCAAAGGCCAAAGAACCTGGGACATACACGCTCAGGCAACTGTGCACTTCAGTGGGAAAAGTACAGTTTGTCCTTCTTCATATTTACCCAATAGTGCAGTATGATGTTTATTCTCAGGAGCCCCAGCTAAAAGTGGAACCCATGACTGGTAGGTACAATTATTATGCTGAAGTTGTTTTGATGATTTCTGTTGCACTCCCGTGGGACTAGATAAAGGGGTTTTTTTGACTTGAATGTTATGCAGAATTTTTTTGCCTTACTCTTAATTTTGAGTCTAAAATAAATCCTCACTTTTTAAATTATCCATCAAGTATGCTCTGTCTATGGCTAGTTTTCAACAACTAATTTCAGTGCCTGGCTCTGAGATGCGTAGCATCACTTTTGAACATGAATTTGAACATGTACAGTCACTTAAATAGCAGGTAAGATTTAAGCTGCCACACTGATTAGAAGAAGTGAATATTTAAATTTGTAGTTGACTGAGCTCCTTATCCATTAGTTGTGTGACACAGCGATCTCTGGTATTTATGAGAAATGCATAAGAACTGGGATTCACTGCTAGAGGTAATAATATAAACTTATTAAAATTTAGTACTGAAAACATCTATTGGTTTCATGGACAGCTGAGCATTACTTGTAGAGTTTCTTAGAGTTTATAAATGGAAGTTAACAGTGATTTTGTTTTCAGGTTAACTGAGGCAATTGAGGAGTTAGTATGCATTTTGTGCTGTCATTCCAGTTACAGGGGTTACAATGTGTGGCAAAGGAAGGACAGGAATTATTGGGCATTAATCAGATTAGCTACCCCTATGAAATTGATGGTTGTGGTTCAGATATTTGAGAGTCTGTGTGCATACTGGCATTCTTGTTATCTCAATTATGTAAATACAGCATGTGGGTGTAACTGGCATCATATGTGCAAAAATATAAAGCTGTCTGCGACCTGGAGTATTTAACAAAAAACTTAGTAAATACTTATTTTATTTCCTTGAATTGTATTTCCCTGAATTCCATGCTGCCAGAGCTACGCAGTATGTGAACCAGCTAATCTAAGCCATCCAAGAAACAGTGGTTTTGGTCACTCAACTTGAAACACCGGTTTCTTGACACCAGTGTATCTGAGCTAGGTTTAATGTGTTGTGTAACACTAAAACCCCACACTTAAGTTACCCTACAATGTATGACAAATGGTCTGGGAATATTGCTAACAAGCCTTAGCAGTACACTGTAACCATCTACTGGTGACTGCTAGATTCTGTTGACAATTTCTGCTTTCTTCTTCAGATAGCCTTTTGGCTGGCATTCCCCAGAAGGTGAAATTCACAGTGACTGCTGGTCACTACAGCATGAAGAACGGGGATACTTTGCAGCTCAGTAATGCGGATGCCATGCCTATTCTGTACCACCCAGAGAGCAAGGCGGTGATCTATTCCAACACCAGAGGTAATCCTGAAGTAAACCTGCACATACAGCATTAAGAAGGCTGATGCTGTCTCTTTTAATGGTTCTTATTAAGAACAATTTTAGGGACTTGCAAATCAGTACTTTGGTTCAAGAAAGGTCTTAAACTTTCACCTTCAAAGTAGTAGTATTAACTTTTCAGCAAACATAGCTGGACAACTTCTACTTTCATGGATGAAATTCAGTAGGCATGGTGAAACTGCTGCTGAGGTGGGCATCTGTCATGACTGCAAAGTAAATCATGATGATCTCTTATTACTATGAGGGCTCTATTCTAACTAGAGCATTTTTATTGTGAAGTAGTCATAACTAGGTTTTTATGTAGTGCTCTGTGTAAATGGAGCACTTCTTTTGGCTTGTGTTTAATTTAAACTGATGACATCCTTGTTCCTTTTCTTCTGATCATAAGTATTGTATAGTCTGCTCAGTTGTCAAATACAAGCAACTTTTGCATAAATGGACGTTGTAAAAACTTCGGTAGGTGTCATATGGTGGACTAAAGTAGCTGTTTAGCTAGTTTGAAGGTTGTTATCAAATTGTCCTCTTATTTCCTCCTTGGACATTGGAAGGGGCTTCTACATGGAATGTGGTGATTACCTTCCTGCAATTCAAGAAGGATAGAGTGTAACTATTGGGAAGTTGTGAACAGCAGTGGTCTTTATGATGTGTGGATTATAGCTCATTTGAAGAGGTTACTGTGGAGTTACAGAACATGGTTTCTCATTGCTGTTTCTGCAAACATGGAGGTCTTGCTAGGAAATAGTTATGGCACCACATATTTTCCTATGACACTTAGCTTTTTAGGCTAGTTTAATTACTTAGTTACACATTAAAATGAAAATTGGGAAGGCATGAACATGTTTTAAAACTACTTTTTTCCCCATTCTATACAACTATAGAAAAGATCTCAGAATCATCATTAAGGATTCAGTCTTCTGAAAAGATCACAAGCATCAGTTTGCCAGTAGCTCCTGCATATCATGTGATTGAATTTGAACTAGAAGTCATGTATTTGCCATCAGCCACAGAATCTGCAGTGGAGAAAGAAAATACTACAAATAAAGAAGTTCACAGAAAAAACAGAGAGAAGCAGAAACAGGACAACTGTATGGCTACTGTTGATCAAAAAGTAAGATGTAATTTAACATTTTTATTATGAAATCTATTTGATCACAGGGGCATATGCTTCACAAAATAGAAGTGGTGGTGATGGCAGGGGAACCTGCTTGCATTGAACTAATTTTCCCTTAAAGGTGTACCTGCAAAAATCATAAAAAATATTATAAATGTAAAGAATACATAAAGATAAGCATAAATATACACTGTTTACTATACTGCTAAGTGTTCCACTGGCTAGTAATCTGAGTTTTAATGTTGTAACACTCGCAGTTTATATGGGGTAAAGTATACTCATGTCTTTGTAAAAGGTGGCATGGTGGTCTTAAAATTCTCCCTTCTGACTCATAGGAAAGATATTTCTTCCACTTGCAAAGAATCTGTTGGTGTCTTGTGGTACTTAACGCTGTAATGTTTCAAGCTGTACCGTTATTTAGTTGGAGGTAACTTTTCCTCTTTATTTTCATTATGAAGAGTGAATAAAGTAAGCAGTATGGAAAGACGCT